GTCTCGGCTTGACAAATTGCCTGGATACATTGGCGAGTAAATTAAGCGGTGGTGAACGAAGAAGACTCTCTATCGGCGTGGAAATGATCGGCAAGCCATCCATTTTCTTACTAGACGAACCAACAAGCGGACTTGACAGTGCGGCCTGTAATCAGGTATAGCATAGATTATTAAATATTAATATAGCTATACATCAGTAACAATCGCTTTACAAAAACGATATTTGAATTGTTAATTAATTGATGTAAATCGATATTTGTTTCTTGTTATATTCCATTAATAATTCTGTCAAACGCGAAACTTCTAACAATATCACAGTAACGTAAAACTAAAACATTAAGACATATTATTTTACATGATCATCATTAAATCTTCACACGCTCTTAATATATTTTACGTAAGATTTACACGTTGAATAGCTCGTTAACCTTCTGCACAATATGGCGAGAGCAAACTGTACTGTGGTTTGTGCTATACATCAACCTAGCAGTCAAATGATTTCGCTCTTTGATGATATTATGGTACTCGATCGAGGAAGATGTATGTACTGCGGTCCAACGAGCGAAATCATAAACACTTACGGCATTGCCGGGTTCACGTGCCCCAGCTTCTACAACATAGCCGAATTTGGTACAGTTTACTTTATTCAACTCGAATTAACTTGATAAAGAATCACGAGATGACAGAAAAATAAGGAAAAGAGCATAAATATAGAACAGAGCGCATTTGTTTTACATAATTTTTTATAACTTTAAAATCGGTTCTCTATTATTAATCCTGCAATGTAAATCTTAATAAAAAGGTCTTAGTTTTTAGACAATCAATTTAAAGGAATAGTAGACTAGTATTATTTTTTTATTTAATTTTTAGTATTTAAATATCAAACAAAAATACACAAAATAATTGTGTAATATTATTATTTTAATAACAATATTTTTTAAACTTTTGGGGGAGATTTAACAAAAATTTCATACAATAAAAAATATGCGTTATTTAAAAGTTTTTTTTTCAGACAAATTGAAATTGTGATACATATATTTTAATACATTGTCGAATTTTTTATTTTATACTGTATAAATTAAAATGCTTTAAAGACAATTATACAAGATTAAAAGACAAAAAACAATCGATATTAATTTTGTTCTTCTAATTGCAGTGCTTGAGGTAGTATCCGAGCAGAGGGGTGGAGATTTAGAAAATCTATACAAGATCTGTTGTAATGAATACGAAAAATTTAGATTACGCAGTAAACATAATATGAATGGTAAATATGTTACATTTTATTCTTAATTGTTGTGTCAATCTGTAATTATTTATTGATAATCCATATAATTTATGTTAATAATTATTTTTAGTAATTTATATTCATTTATACAATATTCTTTTATCTTGGCAATGTTTGAAAGCGTTAGTATTTATCAAATATCTGCTTCTTCTACAGAGCAGCAACTTCTACAGAAATTGAAATTCATAGAAATATGGGATTGAATGTCTTGTATGTGACATAAAAATAATATCAAAAAAATAATATCGAACAATATAAAAATACAATTCAAGATAATTTATATAAAAATTAAGAGAAACAAATTTTTCAATAATTATTTTTAAGTCTTAATAATTGATTGATTTTTTTTATAGAATTGAAGTCATTAACTAATTTCAAACAAAAATGTGAAACAAACGATACAGAAGCATGTACAAATAGCATAATACAAAAGAAATCGACATGGGAACAGCAAAAGGTTTTATTTTTACGAGCTCTAATCTGCATCAAGCGAGATAATGTGAGTAAAATCTTTTAAAAGTAGAATAGAA